GGAAGCTGTCTTTGGATTGGAGTTCTTGCCTCACCCAACTCTGACAATGAAATTAAAGGGGATAGCAGGCACCACGGGAACCCCTCCACAATCATGAAAATCGGTAGGGCAGGATTGGAGGTTCAAAAGGCGGTCTTCACGGTGGAACCTTCCGAGCCAGGTTTCTGAACTGTAGGACTTTTTGCTCTGGGTGACAAACGATATGTTATCCATGTCATTATGTGCTACTGTATTTCCACACGCTGCGAATACATAGTTGCATTGCATTCATAAAACATTTTTCCCCACCTGCCAGGTGAGGGTTGTTAGATTTTATGTCAGTTGCCTCCTCCTCCTCCTCCTCCTCCTCCTTGTCTCCTCTCCTCCTCGTCTCCTCCTGCCGGACCTCAACCACGATCATCCACGCCCATCTCCTGCCGGACCTCAACCACGATCATCCACGCCCAGTGTTCGCTGCCGGACCTCAACCACGATCATCCACGCCCAGTGTTCGCTGCCGGACCTCAACCACGATCATCCACGCCCAGTGTTCCCTGCCGGACCTCAACCACGATCATCCACGCCCAGTGTTCCCTGCCGGACCTCAACCACGATCATCCACGCCCAGTGTTCCCTGCCGGACTTCAACCACGACCATCCAACCTCAGTGTTCCCTGCCGGACCTCAACCACAGATAGAATACCAGAAGATATGCCAGAAGATATGCCAGATAAAGTGCCAGGATGTTTGCCAGAAGATTTGCCAGATAATATGCCAGATAGAATGCCAGAAGATATGCCAGAACATATGCCAGAAGATATGCCAGGTAGAATGCCAGAAGGTATGCCAGATAGAATGCCAGAAGATATGTCAGATAGAATGTCAGAAGATTTGCCAGAACATATGCCAGAAGATATGCCAGGTAGAATGCCAGATAGAATGCCAGAAGATATGCCAGATAGAACGCCAGATAGCATGTCAGATAGAATGCCAGAAGATATGCCAGATAAAGTGCCAGAATGTTTGCCAGGAGATTTGCCAGATAATATGCCAGATAGAATGCCAGAAGATATGCCAGAACATATGCCAGAAGATATGCCAGGTAGAATGCCAGATAGAATGCCAGAAGATATGTCAGATAGAATGTCAGAAGATTTGCCAGAACATATGCCAGGTAGAATGCCAGAAAATATGCCAGATTGAATGCCAGAAGATATGCCAGATAGAATGCCAGATAGAATGCCAGAAGATTTGCCAGTAACAAAACGTATAAATGTCATGGTGGGGATCACTCGAAGTAAAGTAATTTGAAGTACGTGAGTATGAATAAGTAATGTATCACGGTATCATCACATCAATTAAATTGCATGTAACAAACTGTGCACATCATCATCACCAATCATATCATGCATGTGGCCGAGAAACTGGTATACAGATATGACACCCGACTGATATGATATCGATATCAAAAAAAAGACATCCTGATTATTTGATCTTATCTAGCATTTCTACTTGCCCCAACTTAATCACCTGCCGCGTCCCAATCCAAGTTGTTTTGCGACTGGCCCACCAGTCACTTCCTGACTTTGGACAAGGCATGTTTTACGGTCGACCTGGACCTCGGATTTGGATGCGTCACAAGGTCTACTGCCCGTCTGATGCCTGGATGTAAACCCTCAAAAAACTGCCTGAGCCTTTTCATCTGATATCCGCCTATCTCACTAGCCTTTTCGGCAGCCAGTGCTTGGATCTGACTTGCAATACTCACATCACTTTCTCCAGTGAAGAATCTGCCAAACCCTGCTGTCTCAATGACTGTGAAGCCAGCTGCCCACGCATCACAAAGCTCATCAAGCACTTCTCTCAAGTCAGTGAATGGCATACAAAGCTCGGGGGGGCGGTATGACAAAGTGAAGGCCTGCTCCTTAGATACAAAACCCACCAACACATGCAGTTGCTGCACCCTTCCAGGCAATTCAGAACTCACTGGGTTGATACATGGTGTTATGAGCTTGTGAGGGGTATGACGCTTCTGCGTAAGAAATGATAATGATCATGGTTCGTGGGCCCAACAAAGGCACAAGGTGCCACATTTACATAAATGCATCAAAATGGCAAGTCGCCCATCTAAAGTCATGGGATTCAATGATTTGCTGTAACTTTCGTTTCAGTCACGGAGTGCGCGCTTACTTAGTCACACGCAACAGGGGAACAAAAACGGAAGAAAGTCTTCACATGACCCTTGGACTACATCTTAAATCACACATAAAACCTTCTGCGCACAGTCAACAATACACAAACATGTACTGCATGTCTGCATTGCACATCAGTTTTGCTGTACTAGCTTACATTCTTTTCTGCTATCAAAGTATGTTTTTGAATTGAAGAATTTGTCATTCTGTTGCTACTGTAACCTGTGCTTTTTGATTGCATCTGTAATCTGTGATTCAGTGATTTTTTATTGCATAATTGCATAATAAATAAATTCAAGAACCCTTTGAGAACCATGGAAACATGTGCA